GGGGGCTGTCTTGGGAGACTTGGTATCTGTGCCCTGTTGTACCCCACCCACTTATCACATGGGGAAGACTCTGGGTTGGGTGCTGATGGGATCAGCCTGTTTCTTTGTCCATCCATCCATCCATCCATCCATCCATCCATCCATTTTTTTCTTCCTCTCTCCTCTCTTTGTTCATTCATTCATTTCTTTCTTTTTTCTTTCCACTCTTCCATCAGTCTTTCCTTTCACCCTTCTTTACATCCTTCTATCTTTTCTTTGTTTCTTTCATTCTTTGTTCTTTCCATCTATCCTCCAACCTTTCATCCATCTAGCAAGTATTTGTGTCAGGCACTGTGCTAGGCTCCATGCTCTCCTGGAGTGTATGGCCCAAGAAGGGGATGTATGATCAGACAAGAGCAATCCAGTGGGATGAATGTGTGATGGGTGTACAGGGGGCTCTAGGAGACAGGGAAAGGCCACATAGCCTAGATTGGGATGGTGGCCAAGGAGAGAACCTTCGAGAAAGGAGATTTTGGCTAAGCCTAGAAGGACGGAGAAGGAGTTAGCTAGGGGAAGAATGTTGAGGGGGAGAGACTGGAGTATGCGAGGACCTTGAAATGATAGGGGCAGGATGCCCCTCCAGGTCGTCAGAATGGGTCTGCAGGGGCCTTGTCAGACCAAGGAGTTTGGACCTTCCCCTGAGAGCAGAGGGAGTACGGAAGGTTTGCTGCCTCTGGGACAGATGTTGGATAAGGAAAAGACAAGAGAGTGGAGAGGCCAGGCGACTCCCGGGTTTCTTGCCTCGCTGGAGGGTGATGCCTCCGCTTGGAAATGGGAGGGAGGAGGGCAGGGAAAGGTCTCGGGTTTGCTGAATCTGAGGCACTTGTGAGGGAGCAGGGTGAGCTGGGCTGGGTCTAGGGGCTTGGGAGAAAGACTGGATGCAAAGTCATGGGACTGGAAGCCAGGAGCTGAGAGATGGAGCCGAGGCTCATGAGCTCAGGGGAGTGTAGCTGTGGGAAGGAGGGTGAGGAGACCCAGGCCTGGCCCCCCACAGTCAGGCCCCCCACAGCCAGCCTTCAGTCCGAGAGGGCAGACACAGCCCTAGTAAGCTCCCCGTCTGAGAGGGAGGCACATCTTTGCTTTCAAAGTACTCCCAGTCTGCGGGGGAGACAACCCCCCCTTTGAGGAGCCTGCAGCTAAAGCAGGAGCCGGTCTTTATCCCCAAGAAGCTCCCAGTGTGGTTGGGGCGACACAGCCCCTGCCCTCAGGGGTGTGGTCTAAGAAGGGTAGTTCAACCCCTTGCCTGGGTGCCCTCGGTGCCCTGGGGAAGGCAGGGCCGAGCCTCCATGATAACAGTCTGCTTGGTGGGCACCCTTGGCTGTGGGCAAGTTGTCAGCAGGGGCCTGGAGACTTGAGGGGCCTTGGGAATGGGGTCTGGGCCCAGAGGCAAGGCTGGGGGTGGGGGACAGGCAGGTTCAGCTTTCTGCCACCTTCACCCACCACTCCCTTCATTCTCGCAGATGAGCCCACCAGCCCCAGCATTGACCTACAAGCCAAGCACGTCCCCGCCTCTGCTGTGGTCTCCAGTGCCATGAACTCGGCTCCCGTCCTGGGCACCAGCCCATCCTCCCCCACCTTCACCTTTGCCCTCGGCCGCCATTACTCCAAGGACTGCAGTGAGTGCTCCCCACACCCATCCCCACCCTTCCCGTTGCTGCCACCGTCTCTGCTGGGCCTGCTACTGGGTGTCTGACCTCTGCTCGCTGGCTCCAGCTCCCGGCCCTGCCCAGAGACGAGGGCTCCATGGAAGCCCCGGCCTTCGGCCCCACTGACCCTTTGGCCCAACGCGGGCGTTTTGCAGGCAGCATCAAGGCCGGCCGCCGCTCCTCCTACCTGCTGGCCATCACCACGGAGCGCTCCAAGTCCTGCGATGACGGGCTCAACACTTCCGGGACGAGGGCAAGGCTCTTCGGTGAGGACGGGGTGGGTCCATCACAGCCAGCCTGCCTGGGCTGTGGCGGGGCCCCCAGCCCTGGGGTCCTCTCCACACCAGGGCAGCGAGCCCCGGACGGCCTCTGAGCCCTGGGGCTTGGGTGGGTCAGGTCCTGGCTGTGCTTCCCACACCCCTCACTCTTGGTCCTTGCTTCCCAGGCGCCTGCCAAACCGAGTCCCCAGCTTGCGGATGCTCCGAAGCTTCTTTACTGACGGGGTGAGTGGCATGGGTGGGCAGGCGAGGGTGTTGGAGTGCTGGGCAGGGCCTTGGCAGGGGGTCCAGGCCTGTGGCCTCTGTCATCTGAAAGGGGCTCCTCTGGTTCCTGCCCTTTTCTTTCTCCCTGCACCCACCCACCCACCCTCATGTCCACCACGTGACCCACCCTCCTCTGTGGGCTCTGTCTTCACCTAAAGGCACCGCACACCCTCCCAGCCAAGGCCTTTGCACTAGTCTTTCCCCCGTCTAGACCAGGGGTGGGCAAACTTTTTGACTCGAGGGCCACAATGGGTTCTTAAACTGGACCGGAGGGCCGGAACAAAAGCATGGATGGAGTGTTTGTGTGAACTAATATAAATTCAAAGTAAACATCATTATATAAAAGGGTACAGTCTTTTTTTTTTTTTTCAAAGTTATTTTTATTTATTTATTTTTTAAAAATATATTTTATTGATTTTTTACAGAGAGGAAGGGAGAGAGATAGAAAGTCAGAAACATCGATGAGAGAGAAACATCGACCAGCTGCCTCCCGCACATCTCCCACTGGGGATGTGCCCGCAACCCAGGTACATGCCCTTGACCGGAATCGAACCTGGGACCTTTCAGTCCACAGGCCGACGCTCTATCCACTGAGCCAAACCGGTTTCAGCGGGTACAGTCTTTTTTTTTTTTTTTTTTTTAGTTTTATTCACTTCAAACGGGCCGGATCCGGCCCGCGGGCTGGAGTTTGCCCACGGCTGGTCTAGAATGTCCTCTCCTCAGCCCCACCTCAGCTGTGTGACTCACTTTTTTACTTTTTTACTTTCTTCAGGTTTCTTTCGGCCTCCCCTGAGCTTTCAGCCTCCGCCCCTGACATTTTATGTCTCCCTTCGCAAGTTTGGTTTTCTCCTTCGCACTCGGCATGTTCTGTAATTTATATGTCCATCTCCTTTCCTGCCTGTCTCCCAGCTGGAACCTAAGTTCCATGACGGCAGGGATATTATGTGGTTTGTTCGCTGCTTGATCTCCACGGGCACCTGAAACAGTGCCCGCACTAGGGAGGCACCCGGTCAGTATTTGAGCGGTGTCTTCAGGGGACTCTGAAAAGTAGGCGGGCAGGGCGGTGGGGACACAAGGTTGAGAATGATGGAGAAGCTAGAGTTCCCAGCCTCAGAACCTGGGGAAACAGGGCCAATTCTGAAATGGCCTTCACTCCTTCATTATGGATGGACTGGAAAAGCCGTCTTGATTCCAAACGCGCGCCGTCTTCGGCTCATTCGGCACCTGGATGGTGTTTTCACCCGGCTTATTCCTTGTAACAGCCTCTGCTTGCTCGCTTCTCCCTCTGTCTCTGTGGCTGGAGTCCTGTTGACACTATCATTTCCTCTGCTTAACTCTTTGTGGACATGACTACCTGCTCCACTAACTCTGTTCATTGATGCTCTGACTTCCTCTGTTTACTTAACTCTGTGTTGACACAATTACTTCCTCTGTATCCTTAATTTCTTCACGTCTATAAAATTCACGGGCGGCTGCAGGTTGGCTTTTCTGGCGTGGTGAGGCACGTGGTCTGCTGGTCAGAGCCTTTCCTCCTTTCTGGCTTCCCCAGCACATGTGTCTCATGACCTCAACCCAGAGGTTCAGAGAGGGCAAGCGAGGCCACGAGGCCACACGGAGCCGCAGGGCATAGCACAGGCATGCACCCGGCCCTGTGCCTGTGCGTGGTCCCTGGGGCTCCCGAGAGGCCAGCACCGTGAGAGCCACCTTACGTTGCCCTCTGTTGTCTCGCTGCAGTCCTTGGACAGCTGGGGCACTTCCGAAGAGGCTGACGCTCCTTCTAAGCGACATTCAACCTCTGACCTCTCGGACACAACCCTCAGCGATATCAGGAGAGAAGGCTGGTTGTATTATAAGCAGGTCCTCACCAACAAGGGGAAGGTAAGATGGCTGGAGGAATGAGGTGAAGATGGATGGAAGCTGGACCCGGCAGAACTCTCCGGCTCCTCACCCCACAGCCTCTGGAGCCAGAGAGAACCGGCTGAGGCGGTAGCAGGAGGGGTAGAGGTTAGATGCCGGGAAAAACTTCTGGGGACCTAATGAACTCACGAAAAAGAGGTCTGTTCTGTGGGATGGATCCGATGAAGTTGTGCTTGGGATTCTGACAAGACCAGCCACAGCGACCCTTGGTAGGCAGAGCACCCCCAAAATGGCCATTCATGTTCATGGAAGACGAGGGAGCAAGGCCAGGGCAATTCTCTTAGAGGGGCTGAGGCCCCCAAAGAAAGCAGAGGTCAGCCTTTGCAAGGCCAGCAGAAGTTTCAGTCCTTATCCTAAGGGCAACTGACAGCCCCCGGGGCCTCTTTCATGGCTTCCTGGGGAGTGAATTAGAGAGGGCCAACGTGGAGGCCAAAGAAGATCAGTTCAGAGCTGCCATAGAGATCCAGGTGAGAGACGAAGGGGGCTTGGGCCTGGGGGTGGAGGGTGGGGGAAGATAACCAGGGTCCAAAGAGGAGAAGGCGGGACCCCTGGCCTGTAGAGATTGAACCTCCGTTCCAGGCCAGGGCCGTGGCTGAGGGGCTGGGAGGAGAGGCAGCCCAGGCCAGGCTGAGCAGAGTGGTGACCATAACCTGGGCTTGTCTCTCGACTGCAACACAAATTGCTGGGAAGCTTAGGTGACTCACCTGCCCATGACTCAATTCCCTCGTCTGTACACGGAGCTAATATATTCCTTAGTTCACCCGCCTGTTGCTGAGGATCCAATGAGATGGGTTTACCCAGTGCCTGGCATGGCGGGGTGGGGTGGGGTGGGGGGGGGATGTGGCCTCTGTTCTGCTTATTGCTGTTACTTGAATTGTCCACCCTGCCTCCTAGGCGTCTTGTACCTGGAAAGAAGATAAGCTTTGGGTCAGACAGACTTAAATTCCTGCCCAGCCACATATCAAGCATAAGGCTTTGGGCATAAGGCCTCCTGTCTTCTGAGCCCCACTTTTCTGACCTGTAAGATGGAGACACCCGAGTTCTACTCCAAGGGCCGATGTGTCATCCGGGCAGGATTGGCTTATCTGTGTCCCCATCCAGTCCGGGGGTAATGACTAAGGGTGTGGCCCGCCCTGATTCTCAGTTGAGGTTCTCGGGATTTCGTAGTGAGGGATCCAGGCCGGTCCTGCCCTGCTGGGGTTCATGACGAGCAGAAATAGCTCAGTTGCATAACAGTTAGGAGTGCCTGATGGTTATGACGGGGGTGGCCAGGGCAATGGCATGTAGTAGGTGACCCGAGCCTCAGAGCCGTGGGTGAGACATGAAGGATGTGTGAGAATCCACCAAGCTGGGCGGGGGGAGAGTGGTCTGACAGAGGAGATCCCCTCCTGGATGATCTGGAGAAAGGCGGGTGGCTGGGAGCCAGGGCAAGAGGTGGGAGCCAAGGTGGGGGAGTTGGGTGCCTGCTCGGGGGGCCTTGTCCCTCAGGGGGCCTTGGCAGGGATTTAGGTGGAGGGTGTATGAGGCCAGGGGGTAAGTGTTGATCCTGTGACAGGAAGAGGCCAGGCCACTGCTGTTGTCCAGGTGAGCGAGGATGGGGGCTCTGACCATGGGGCTGAGGGGAGGGGACAATTGAGAGAGATTCAAGGGGAAGAAAGGCCCGGGCTTGCTGATGGCTGGGAGGTGAGGGAGGAAGGGGGAGGTAGCGCAGGCTCCCGGGGTCTCAGCTTGGGTTGTGGGGTGGTGGGTAGTGGGACTTTGCCCTGAGCCATGGGCACTGGAGGCACAGGCTTGGGGAAAAGAAGCCAAGAGGTTGCTTCGGGGTCTTGTGGAGTCCCAGCGTGGAGGTGTTCTGGGGACAGAGGCTCCGAGGGTGTGGCGCTCAGGATGGAGGCCCACCTCGGAGAGCATTGGTCCGTCGGGGGGTGCTCGCACCTGCAGCCAGGTTTGGGAGCACAGAGGGAGAGGGCAAGAGACGGGCTGCACCTTGAAAGGAAGTGGGGGGTGGGGGCCAAGGAGGAGAGTCAGCAAGTGGCTGTAGGCCTAGGAGGGGCAGCAGGGGCCAGCTGTGTGGCTGAGGAAGGGCACCCAGGTGTAGACAACCCCTTCTAGCCCGACCTTTGAGGACTGCTACTCCTGCCAGGCAGCCTGTCTGTCCCCCGGCTCTGGGCGGCCCCTGAAGCCCACCCACAGTGTCTCCCGGGCAGGGAGAGGAGCCGGCCCCTTTCTGCTCACTGACCAGCTCTGGACAGCAGGGGCTTCCACTCCCATCTTGACCAGAACCCAGTCTCCCTCGTCACCTAGGTACCATGGCCTGGGAGTTAGGGGAGGGGCCCTCAAGGCAGTTTCAGGCCCTTGGTCCATTCAGGGTCCTGATTGCCGGCCAGATGTTGGCTTCTCCCACAACCGCAGCCTCTCCTGGGTGCCCCCCCCCCCCGCCCCAACACCTGTCTGTTTCAGAGACATTGACTATCAGGCAGAGGGAGAGGCTGTGACATCTCCCTGTAGCCAGGGACGCTGCACTTGAGCTGGATGCGACCTTGGGGACCAGCTAGTTCACCTCTCTTTTTAGCAACAGGGAACACTGATGCCAGGGGAGAGGGCTTGGCTTGTCCAAGGTCACTAGCTGGTTCAGTCTCAAAGAGCAGCCTTATGACCACCTTACTTCGACATGAAAATGCTTCTGGAGGGCCCTGCTGTGTCCTGCCCGGGGCCCCAGGTCGGTGGTGGGGGGCAGGGCTGCTCTGAGGCAGCCACCAGCCAGAGGAGAGGAGCTTTCAGGCTGAGATGGAAGCCCTGCCCTCAGGATGCTCCGAGGAGGACCCATTCATTTATTCAGTAAATACTGATGAGCACTCACCTTGGGTCTGTTGAGGCTCTAGGATGTGGGATGTGGTCTGAGAGGACAGACAAGCTTTCTGCTCTCAGAATCTTACCATAAACCAGAGAATTCAGACAGGGAAATCAAACAGGCTGATGTGATTGCCTTTAAGTCGGGAGTGGTGGGGCTGCCTACAGAAAAAACTGATCAGAGAAGGTCTCCCTGAGGAGGGGATGTTGGGGACCTTCGAGCTCAGACCTGAAGGGCGAGAAGGGGGCAGCCACGTGAAGCGAGAGAAGGGGCTCCCGGCAGAAGGAACAGCAAGTGCAGCCTGGCTACTGGAGTGGCTCAGTGGTTTTACCCCGACCTGTGAACCAGGAGGTCACGGTTCGATTCCCCGTCAGGCCACATGTCCTGGTTGTGGGCTTGATCCCCAGTAGGGGGCCTGCAGGAGGCAGCTGATCAATGATTCTTTCTCATCATTGATGTTTCTATCTCTCTCCCTCTCCCCCCCCCTTTTTTTTTTTAAAGAAGAAGGGACAGTAAGTGCAAAGGCCTCGAGAAAGGGTGGGCATGGCTTGTTCACTGAAGAAGGAGGGAGGGAGAGAAGATGGGTTTAGAGGGGGAGGAACCAGATCACAAAGTCCTTAGATTTGATTCCAAGACCATGGGAACCCATGAGAGGGTGCTGTACAGGGGAGACACATGACCAGTGGCTGCAGCTGCTGGGCGGGGAACGGATTGTGGGAGGTGAGACTGCAGGCTGGGCAGGTTTGTGCCATTGTCCAGGCAAGAGGTGTTGATGGCGTGGACAAGGTGTTAGCAGGAATGATGGAGACAGGTGATGTTTGGGAAGCAGAATGATGGGTTGAACATCAAAGGCGAGGAAAAGGGAGGAGTCAAGGGCACCTTTCAGGTTTCTGGGCAACTGGGTCGATTTACTGAGCTGGAAAAGATGAGGGTGGTGGGGTGGAGAACAGGTTTGATGGTGAAAATCAGTTGCCCCATATGAGCATGCAAGTGGAGATGCTGCACGGGGACGGGAGGCTCAGGACGGGCTGAGGGGACGCTGGGCATCACCATCAGCAGACAAATGACGTCATTGGGAAGCACGCAGGGAGGGGGAGCCCAGGACAAAGTCCCGGAGCTCCCACCCTTTAGGGCGGGGTCCCACCCTCAGCTCGTTGACCTTTGGGCCGGACGGTTCCGTGTTGTGAGGGCTCTCCTGCGCATCGGGGGCTGGAGCAGCACCTTGGCCTCTACCACCAGGGTGCCATAGCACTTCAGGTGTGGCGACCACAATGTCTCCAGACAGATGTCCCCTGGGGGTGAGTCACCCCTGTTGAGAACCACTGGTGTAGAGGAGGTAGCCAGCGGAGGAGCCAGACGGAGCCCGTGGAATTGGGAGGAAGACCAGGGACCGTGGGGGTCCCAGATGCCAAGAGAGGGTTTGAAGAGGGTAGGCATGGCCAAGTGCTGCAGGGGCCAAGGGAAGGGCCGGGAGGGGCCGGGAAGCTGCCACATGGGAGACCCGAGTGGCCTTGAAAGTGGCTTTCCTGGGAAGGGAGATTGTGTGGAGTTTTGAGTGAGAGGCAGAGAAGCGGGGAGAGCAAGTGTGGTGGACACTCCTGACGGGTTTGCTGTGAAGGGAGCACATGTGGACTAGGAAGGGCTTTATGAGGATTTTATGTCGGTGGCTCATGCTGGTGGCCCAGCTGCCCTCCCAGCGCCCCTACTGGTTCTCCCAGTCATGGCCAAGGCCAGGTGAATGTTGACGCTGGTCTTAAGGATGCTGGGCTGTAAGGATGCTGGGCTGTAAGGATGCTGGGCTGTAAGGATGCTGGGCTTTAACAAGAAGGTTACAGACCCTCTGGGGAGACTGAGAACGATGGGTAGGGGTGTCCAGGCAGGCGAGGAGCTGAGAGAGTTGAGGACTGTGAGCAGGAGGCTGCCCCAGGTTCCCGCGGA